TGCGTCTATATTCGAGCGGAGGGGGATACAGATTTTCAGATAGCTTCCCCTTCGTCACCATTCCCCAACAGGTCAAAGCACAAAGGGCCACGATAGCGGACTCTATGTGTTATTCTGTTAATATATGTGAAAAGATAGCGGTTATGTGATAATACGTGTACATACTGCGATTGCGCCATAGTCCATGATTGATTGCAGCTGCTTATTTTTGTGGAGCAGACTGGAATAAGAGAGCTCTTCATGATACAGCAAATGACATAACCTCGACAAAAATTTTCGAGTTACGAAAGTCAGGGGCGCAAACAATGAGAAGCCCTGCAAGTCTGCCGAGGGGACTGGTCACCATCACACGGAAACGGTGTATCTCTTCTTGGGAACGGTAAACATGTCCGTGTATACTGTGGTTTTTTACTACCGTTCTGCTCGACTCACTTCCTAGACCAGCGATTTGACGAGTGCCAGACTTTTATGATTTCGGCGAGAGGCGAAAGCGTGCGGCTGGATAAATCGGAGTTTGCCACGCCAAACAATATGGAGCGTGGAGAAACAGTGGGAGCATCCTTGGGTTGGGAGTACTGAATGTATACTCACTCATCACTCTATGGTTTACTACATTTTATGTAACTTTTTTCAAGGGGACCTCTGTAGAGGGACCACTGTTATGCTTGGAAGAATTAGTTTACTAAGATTTTACTTGCTTCCCTTATTTTTTTTACTTCGTAATGCGTTTGTGCGTATGTGAATTACGCGAATTTGGAGAAACCATGGGAGTACTTTATGCGTAATTAGAGGTTTTCGGTCGATGATATCGCTTCCTTCCTCGAAAATGCCCACGAGGCTACTGCACAGGAAGAGTCTAGGACTAAAAGATACTCATAGATGTCACACTTTAATATAATCACCAAAACTCAATAAGGTGCTACGTCCCCAACGAATAATGGAACTAGGTGCGAGGTTACTGTAGCTCCGCAAAGTTCGCAACGGCACACAGCCGCATCTGTACGAAAGAATGGCGCCCTCAACAAGACTATTTCTTGCGAGCTTAATTATTCACTGGAAGAAAGGAAATTACCTGTTCTTTCTTATGAACTCCGAGTGTCCCAAATGGCAACGGTTTACCGGTTCGACTTGTCCACAAGAAGGACCTGCAAAAGGAAAACATGTCATAGAATGGGAATCGGCGACCAGGGTACAAATTCAGGTGCCGTTCGGCCTGGGGTAGGTGGGGGGGGGGCATTTTGCCTAGTGTCAATCGTCGTGTCGAGCCATCGAATAGAGATTTGCGAAAACTTCTGAAGTCACGAGGTAATATTCCTGAAAATTTGTGGATACTACTTGTTCACCTTCGCAAAGGTTACCTGGCAACTTCTGTCACACAATGAACACGACGAAGAGAAGCAGCGAAACTGCAAAATGCCCCTCCCTCCCCCCAAATTTGAAACGTCTGCAACCGTAAAGATACCTCGGCGTCAATAATCAGGTCCAAGTCCAGCGGGGAACGCTTTTGGAATGACTTTCTCGAAATGCGAGATCTTAAAAGGAAAGTCTGAACACTCAGTAACACTCAGTAATCACAAAAAAACAACAACAACAAGGAACCATCACTGTACCTTATGGTGCTGTACGGGTTTGAGGCTTCGTGAGTAAAACGAGAATGAAGTACCAGTTTTATGAACCTGAAAAGAACTCTTATGAAAAGCATGAACCAGAAAGTTGAGGAGGAGGAGAGGGGGCGTTAACTGCACGTTGCGGCCACTCGTAGAAACTAGCACGATGTTCCCATTTACTTAATATGTCACACTACATCTCTGCCTTGTGGCCGTGTGAACCACGTTGCGGAGCACACGCTGAGATCCCGGTTCCGTTTGGGCCTATAGGTCAGAATACAGACGAGGTCAAGAATTGACAAACATCAAATTCTAAATTCTTTGCAATGATCCGCCATCAGTATGGATTGAATTTATCAGATTTAGCACAGGAAGCCAGAAATGAGCAATGCATCGCTCAATCACTCGAATGCATTCACAGAACTTCAACTTCACTGGCTCAGGAGCATTCGTTCAAGAGGCAGGCAGTTTCCGTATACATCGGAACTATCGGATTTTTCCAACCAAAAAACCCCACTCTGCGCGCGCCGGGAACGGGTTAGTGGTTGAAATGAGTGTGGTTCGTGGGATAAGCCGCGTCTGTTTCGACTCCTTCCCGGCCTGAGGATCGAACTGGAGAGCCTAGCTATACCTGAACTTTCACGACTACTGCAGTTTGTATTGCCGCGCAGCGCTTCAGCACGCGTGTGCCGCGCGTGCGTTTGAGCATCGACTTCAGGAAGACCAGAATATACCTGCAACATCTTTCTCTCATCGTATCTTGATTGCAGCGAACATCCCGTTTACACCAATGCTTTTCAATTGCTTGTTGAATCCGATCTTGGCACTTGGCTCCGCCTTAAAATCAATGAGTGCGCTTGACACTGTGAAACAAAGGAATTTCTTTCGGGTTCACAAGGGAACGCTGGGTTGTCCCGCGCTGAAAAAACTCAGACAAGCCATGATGATGAGGAACTGCTGATCAAGGGTGGATAGTGATTCCTTCTTGGGCCCTCAAGAGGCCTCTCCACAGAACACACACTGCATTTTTAAGAAGAAAAGAAAGGCTCCTCATTCTAGCAGGAAAATCCCCCGAACACTAACACAGAGTGAGAAGACCGAATCTGAATGGCCTGGAACCAGCTACAGAATTCAAAACCCTTCCAGGGTCCCCTTCTGTTAAGAAACCTAATTGGCAAAACGGCAAGAAGAAAACGAAAAAAAAACTGACCAGCATAGGTAACACTGGCGTTCCAAGGCGAATTCCAACTTCCATTGAGGCTGCAACATTTCCAAGTTGACGCTTCTTATACCTTAACATTCACCGATGAATCAATCCAAAATATGATGTTTTACCATCATGAGACAGACACGCTCTCTTATTGTATGGGTTGGTCAATCTATACTCAGCCTTCCTTGTTGGCACAGAAACGGAGAGGGAGAGCTGGGAATATTGCAAAGTGATACGCGTTTCCGCCGACCATACACAACTGTGGACTGCGCCTTTATCTACGTTCCGAGAGGGGGAGGAGACAAATCAGAAAAAAAAAAAACTGAAAAAATTATCATAAAACTGCCTGTCGCTGGTGGAAACACTTCTAAAACACGCCACCTCCCCTTACATCCTCTTCTTATCTAGTACGACCCCCTTGTCCATGCTACCTAACCTCTTCCAAACTTTCCATAACTTCCTACCACTTCTTCCCACTTTTTCGTGATTTCCGAGAGCTCTCCAAAAGAAAAAAAAAACAAAAAAACTTTCACTGGAAGGAAAAAGGTATGAGCATGGGGAGGAGGTGTGGGAGGACACTACACATTTGCTAAGTCAGTCTACTGAAAAACATGTATTTGAATAGATAATGAACTGCTGGTAACAGGGTAACTAGGGAGACGGTAATTTGTTGTTAGGGCACGACCCTCCTTTCAGAATTACCAACAAATCCTACCCTTTCCCCCACCACATAGGGTTTTCTAAACGTTGTGGATAGCGCCGCGCGTGGAACAGGAAAAATCACTCAGAAAAAACAAGACTTTTCAGGCACAGTACGACCGCCCTTCCAGCGACTCAATAGCACCTTCCGCTAGGGATTCCCTAGCGTGCGACGTGAGTCTGGAAGAGAAGAGACGAAGACGGTGAGGTCCCCTCTGTGGAAATGATGAGCAATTCAAGCAATACCACCCACAAGCACGAAACCACACCTTTCGACAATTTCCGCTAAGTCACGGCAACTTTGAAAAGCTTCATAAGCTGATGCATGTAAACCATCCAGTATGTGCTTTACACCTGCGTTGAAGCGAAGATCCTTCATTACGAGACGCAATAGATATTGTACTTCAATTGGAGATAACCTGAAAATGTATCCATTTCAGGTAAAAATGTACTAAAGAAAAACTTTCTTACAAAATTATGATGTGAAAATGTTTTTATTTTATCTTCGAATTCACATATAGCATAAGCCGTAGGTAGTGATCGGAGTCGGGCGGCGTTTATAGTTGACGAGGCAGGAGAATCAGCATTCAAGGAAGGAAAATTGGCGTTTCGAGCTTGAAGCCTAAGGTCCGGGCTGGATGCCGCCTGAGGCCACGACTTTTGCCCATATCTCAAATCTCTTGTGATAAACAGAGGATGATTTCCGTGAAAACACTTTAAAGGCACATTTGCACTTACTCAAGAGGTGGTGCTGTCTCAGTGCATGAGGAGCGCAGGTCCATAACCGCGCAGGATGCGCCCCCTTCGTCACTCCCAACTGCGTGCTGAGAGCCATAGGGGTACTCGGAAGATCAAGAAACTCCGCTCAGACCAAGTAAAGGCGCCCATGAACGTACGACGTACATACTGCGCGGCGTTGCGACAGGCTTCCCTGCCCTTGTGTGTGAGGCTCTTACACAGGTCTTAGCGCTTGTCTGGTCTCTCGCGCGCTTTCGTTAGCCTATTCATACTCAGCGCACACTCCACCAATGCTGAAAGTAGACACCGGCTTTGTTTGCGGCAATTTCGCTAGCTTTGTTGGGCTATTTCCTCCGCTAACAGACATAAATAAAATCATATTTCGAGTCCACTACCCACGACTTGCAACGATCTACGAAAGTACTTCTATATGGGAGCTTTTTGATGCAAAACAAACCTTTTAGCAGCAAACTTCAGATGATTAATCTGTTCGTCGTCCTTTGTAAACTCCGTGAGTTTAGTCAGCCAACGGTCCACCTTAATTTCAACAAGTAAACCTTAGTAGAGCTCTGGGGACCTTCAGAGACTTGGAAAAATCATACTCTACACAAAAACAGCAAAAACTAGTCCAAACATTTGTAGTTGAACTTAAAAGCACAGCCAACCATATGCGGACGGCCAGGTTTGTCATTGCATATTCCCTATTGGTGCACTTTCCATCCCCATCTAAGGAACGCGGCCCACTGATAAGGGAGGCACAACTATAGGTCTCATTCCGCCTCTAGGTCAATATGGACATGTTCCCGAAGTCTTACTTTTTGGATGCTCCAATTTCCTTTATTCGTTCTGCTCAAATTATTTTTCTCGATTGCGTCACGGATGGTTTTTGAAACATCTCCTCCAATCTTGTATGAATCCAAAAGTTCCTCCGCCGGTAAGTCGTATATCTGTAAGTAACTGAGTAAAAGTACAAAAAAAAGTAGCTGATTCCCAGTAAAAGTGAATCTCTCAGCGACTGCCATCTCAGAGTGACAAGGAGGAGGATAGAAGGGGTGATTTCATTCCTCATCTCAATTTCGACAACAGACGTTTGCAACAAAAAGGCTACGCCTAGTGGTTCAAAAACTCGAGAGTTTACCCCCCCCTCCGCTGGCTATCGAAAATGTCATTTTGTTGTTCAACAGATTTTCTTATTTTTAATGATCAATGCCACGACGTAGAGCAGACGGCGGCAAGTGGCGCAATTTTGCCTCGAGGAGGCAATTCGGTGTTTCTTATCGAACACTGTGGATGCCTAGTGTGGAAACCTGTGGATTCCTGTAAAACTATGCGGCAAGTTTTTCGTTACACTAACCAGGAGTTAACAGGTCTTATCAAGATGAAGCGTTTGAGTTAA